ATCATTATGTAATTCCTTCTTTGTCTCTTATTATAGTCTTTGTTTTAAAGTATATTTTATCAGATATAAGTATGGCTACTCCGGCTTTTTTTTTCATTTCCTTTTGCATAAAATGGTTTTTTCCATTTGCATGAAGTATTTTTTTTCTATCCCCTTAGTTTCAATCTATGTGTGTCTTTCGATCTGAGGTAGGTCTCTTGTAGACAGAATATATATGGGTCCTGTTATCTTATCCATTCAGCTATCCTATGTCTTTTGATTGTAGCATTTAATTCATTTACATTTAAAGTGATTATTGATAGATACATAGTTATTGCCATTTTATCATTCATATTTTGTATCTTCTTTTGTTTGTTTATTTTCTTTCTTCTTCTTAAAGAAGCCCCTTTAACATTTCTTGTAATGCTGCCTTGGTGGTAATGAATCCCTTTAGCTTTTTCTTGTCTAAGAGGCTCTTTATCTCTCCTTCAATTTTAAATGATAGCCTTGCTGGGTAAAATACTCTTGATTATAGGCCCTTGCTTTCAATCACTTTGAATATTTTGTGCCAATCCATTCTGGCCTGCAAAGTTTCTATTGAGAAATCAGCTGACAATGTTATGGGAGGTCCCTTGAAAGTAACTAGTTGTATTTCTCTTACTCCTTTTAGGATTCTCTCTTTGTCTTTAACTTTTGCTATTCTAATTATAATGTGTCCTGGTGTGGGCCTGTTTGGGTTCATCTTGCTTGGGACTCACTGCACTTCCTGGGCTTGTATGTCTGTTTCCTTCATCAGGTTAGGGAATTTTTCAGTTATTATTTCTTCATATAGGTTCTTGATTCCTTGCTTTCTCTCTTCTCCTTCTGGTACTCCTCTGATGTGAATGTTGTTATGCTTGATGTTGTCCCAGAGGACTCTTAAACTATCTTCATAGTTATTTGGATTTGTTTGTTTGTTTGTTTTTTATTCTTTTTTCTTCTTGTTGTTCCAGTTGGGTGTTTTCTGCTACCTTGTCTTCTAAATCACTGATTTGATCCTCTACTTCATCTAATCTCCAGCTTCATTTTGAAGAATAGTTTTACTGGATATAGAATTCTTAACTGACAGTTATTTTTTTCTGCACTTTTGAAATGCCTCTCCACTTCCATGTGGCCTCCATTTTTTTCTGATGAAAATGCTGCTATTAATCATATTATTATTCTCCTGTATATGGTGAGTCACTTCCCTTGCTACTTCCAAGATTTTATCTTTGTCTTTAGTTGCCAGAAATTTGATGATATCTCTAGGTGTGGATCTCTTTGGGTTTATTCTATTTAAAATTTGTTGAGTTTCTTATATCTGTAGGTGAATGTTTTTTCATTACATGTGGGAAGTTTTTAGACATTGTATTTTCAATTTTTTTTTCTCTTTTCTCTCTTCTCCTTCTGGGACTCCCATTATGTATATGTTAGTACTCTTGATGGTACCCCTTAGATGTCTCAAACTCTGTTCTTTTTGCTTCATCTATTTTTCTTTTTGTTCTTCAGATTGATTATTCTCTGTTGATTTATTTTCAAGTTTGTTGATATTTTCTTTCACAAAATCAAATATGTGGTTGAGCCTCTCGTGAATATTTCGTTTCAACTGTATGTTTAATTCCAGATTTCCATTTTTAAATAAATTTTATCTTTTTATTGATATTCTCTATTAAGTGGCACATTGGTGTCATATTTTCATTATTTGAACATGTTTATAATAGCTGTTTTGAAAACTTTGTCTGTTAATCCAATACCTGGACTCACTCAGTGAGCGTCTATTAATTGATTTTTTTCTTGTTTCTCTGCATGTCTATTAAGTTTTGGATAAAAATTAAATATTTTAGTTATGTATTATTGCAAATGCTGAGTCAATTTTATTTTTCAAGGTTTTTGTTGTTTTTAGTATTTTTTTAGTAATTTGCATATACTTAAACAATGGAATATTTCAGCCCTATGGTTTACAGCAGCTGATGTCTCTTATCAACTTTTGTTTGTTTGTTTGTTTGCTTATCCTATCTGCATAGAGGTTTCCCTTTTGTCTGCATAGCTTAGTAGTCACCTGATGATTTTGGGGAGACATTGTTTTCAAGCCAATAAGACTTCCATCATCTGCCAAGTAATCTGTAGGTAGATTGAAGAATGCATTCAAAGTTGCTGCAAGTCTCACATCATTTTTTACTTTTTGCCATACTGCCTTAAGTTTTCCCTTCACTTGCATATGAGTACTTTCCCAAGCACTCATGGATATGTGGACAGCTTATCTCAACCTTTCTATGACTTTCTCATGTCCAGAATCTCCCAGTTACATTTTTAGGTGGTCTGTCACTCACCCCAACTTGGACTACAACCTCAAACTAGCAAAACTTCATGGTTTTTTTCTGTCTATTCCCAATGCAGTCTGCCATTACTAGCTGGCAAAGCCATGGGTTTTCTCCCTTTACTTCATATCAAATCCACCCCCACCTTTTCCGGCAGCAAAGCTGCTGGTTTTACATCTAGTGCATATTTGTAAAATTATAGTTTTTCCCAACTGAGGAGCAAGTGGGGAGAAGGAGGGAAGGAATGGTAGCAATCCCAGGCAGGAAAGGCCCCGGACTCATTGATTCTACCCAAACTGTAGCACATTTTCAAGAATTAACACTTCTCAATTTGATAATTCCTTTGCTCAGTTTTCAGGGTCCTGGAATAGTTGTTTTGTTTATTTTTGTATAGTTTTATATGTTGGGCTTTATTTGGTTGAAATAAATTGCCAACTCCTTTATATCATTATTATGGGAAATCCTTCACCAACTTATTTTTGTATCCTGTGATTTAGCAATTTTGATTAGTAATGTGTTGTACAATCAAATCTTGCTTAGACTAACCTACATGTTTACAAATTTCTTCGTCCTATGTCCTTATTCCTAAAGAATATCTTCCAATAGTTTTTTTCCCTCAGTAAATATGCAAAATGTTTTTAGATATATTTGCTAGACAATGTCTTTAATTTGTCCTTTGCTTGAATGATAGTTTAACAGGCTGCAGAATTTATCATTGGATATTCTATTTTTGCGTTTTGAAGACTTTATTTTCTTCCAGCGTCTACTGTTGCTGTTGAAAATTGAGAATCTGCTCTAATGTTTATTTCTTTATAACTAACCTATGTCTCTCTGGATTCTTTAACACTTTATTTTTGAATTTGGTTGTCTATAGTTTCTTACCATTGTGTCTAAGTATTTATTTTTATTTAATTCTTGTGAGAACTCATTTTGTTTCCAAATCAGTACAGAATTGATTATCGTTTTAATCAATTCTGTAAATTTTTTGTCAATTATCTTCTCAAATATTGTCTCTTCTTCACTCTTTCAGTTCTGTTTCTGGAACTACCATCATGTATTTTCCACCTTTTTCAAAATCTAAATATCTCATAATTTCCACCTCTTTTTTTTTTTTCTATGCTACACCCCAGGTAATTTCTTAATATCTACCAGTTTGCCACATTTCTCTCTTCAGCGGTATCTAATCTGCTGTTTAAGGTATCTGGTAATTTTTTTTTAATTTCAGTAACTTTTTTAGTTTCTTTCTAGATGTTCTCTTTGATTCTTTTATATTGCTTCTGGGTATTTCTTATGTCTTCAGTCTTTTTAAGTTGTTTGAGTTTCTTTGAAAATACATATTTTATATTAGTAGTATCTATCTAGTAGTTCTATTAGCTGAGATTTTTGGATATCTAATTTCATTCTTTGTTGTATTTATTAACTTTTGTTCATAGGGGGTTACTTTTTATTTTGTAAGGTTTTATTTTAACTTAAGATTCAGTAGGGCTTTATCTTTGGGAATTTATGCCATCTGGAGTCAGGAGTGTTTATTGGGATATTTTGAACTAACACCTACTAACTGCCTTAGGGATAGTTCCATGGGAAGATGATTTTTTTTTGGTAGGTATAGGGTTTAAGGGTTCCCAAACCATTCAAATCATATAAATTTGAGCCCTAAATATAAGGTAGTTGAGGCATATTTTGAATATTAATTCTCAGAGGTGATTTTATCGCTCAGAGATCAGACAAACTGCCTTTTCTTTTCTCTTTGTCAGTAGAATGTTTTCTGGTCCACTATTTTAGTAGGAGTGCAGTCCTTCCAGTGTTCATGGAATAACAGTAGTCAGTGGGAAAGGGACAAGAATCTTAGTTCTAACTTACTGCCTGAGTTTGTCAAAATCCTCCTTGTTAGTTCTATGCAGCCAAAAAGGAATCACAACTGAAAAATGTGCTTAAGCTATTTTAAGAACCTGAAAAAGCATTAGAAATTATGATTCACAGTAAATGAAGGTAGCCATTTAATTTGCAGATGGCAATTTACAGTGTAACTATCGGTCCTTTATAGAAATCTATGGATGCCCCTGTGAGTAGGGCCTTTCCTTAGTATCTAGCTGCCAGAAACAAGATGTCTACTACCTTGTCCTTACTCACTCTGACTACTTCCGCTTCCTACACACAGTCTAAGATACTTTATATTCTCCCAAAGACTAGGTTTACTTTCTTTTCACTCCCTTTAATAATTTATACCAAATATCAACTGAGTTGTCCTTTCAATGCAAAGATTTACTCTGCTCCTGTTAAAAAATTTGGCACCCTGTCAATGTGATTGTCAATAAATTTGACAATTCTTATCACAGCTATTCCTGATAGAAAAGCTACTTTAAAATATAAAATGAAAGCTCATTATAGTGCCGTGACGTTTTAGAGATGTAATATATTATGAGAAATGTTTATCACTTTAAAGGATTCATAGTTTTAAAATATTTTTTAAAATAAAAACTTTGTTTAAAACTTGTCCCATTAATTGACATGCACTTTGGAATATATGTTAAACAGATATTTCTTCAACCATACTAGCAAGTGACTTTAGCCTACGCTATATAGGACTGGCTATTAATATGATATTTAATAAAATAGAGGTCATCTTTTATATGTATATATCTATGTCTATGCAGATATATAGATATGTGTTTTTTTATGTTTCAGGAGTTTTCCTTTGTATGATATGGTGTGTAACCTGGTCAATCTCAGGCCGTGACAGTCTCCCTGGTGGAAATTTATTTGCACTGTTAATTATCTTTTGTAGTGCCATACTTGGGGGGCAGCTTTTGAAACTCATTAGAATACCTGCAGTGCCTCAACTTCCACCTCTTCTTGGTAAGGGTAGAATTAGCTTTCATTTCTCTGTATTGACTGTATGTAAATTATGAACATATTCTAGTTGGAATAGATATAATTTGGAAATATTTCAATGTAATATGATTTATATAACTTATTGATATATTATGTACTATATATGTATATATAGATCATTTATAGAAATACTTATTCTCTATATATACACACTGATTTTTTTCTGACATATTTTAAAATAATTTAAATATACTCAATATGGGATTCTTTTTTTACTAAATCTATTGGGGTGACATTGGTTAGTAAAATTATATAGGTTTCAAGTGTACCTTTCTACAATACAGGATTCTTATTACTTTATCATTTAATAGGATATTTTTACTTCATTTTAAATGTACTATAGAAAAGGAAAAAATTGGAAAAGACTGAGTTTTTCTGTAGATAACCTAATTCAAATACAATTACAAGATCCAAATATTAGTGACTAGGGCGCCAAAAGCCTTTATGGTTCTTGAGTAAGCTATGTGTATTCATGGCATCATCATCTTCCTGACCAGTGTTATAACCTATTTCTTCATCACCATTATTACACAAATCTCCAGCTGGAAAGAGGAAAATTGGTGGAAGAACTTCTATTAGAGGTGTCTCTAAGTATTAAATACACCCAAATATTTAGTACACTGTCAATAGAAATTATCTCTAACACCCGTTCTATGTCCGCAACACCCTTTCAGTACCTCCTAAGGATTCACTGAAACTTTTTTCCTCTTCTCCAAGAGTTTTACTCTTATCCTATCTTAGGCTATTTCTTTCCAACTATTTCAGGGACTGTGGCAAAGGTTTTTAATTGGTCTCTCCTCCAGTTTTACGTCTGTCTAATTCACCAAGACTCTCACATAGAAAATACAAAACTCATTATGTCACCTCCTGCCTAAAATTTTCCCATGGTGCCTTACTCTTCTAAAGCGGGTAGGCCTGCGGGGTGGGGCTAGCTATTCACAATCTGACCCTTCCTGCCCATGATGTGACTTCCATCCTTGCCCTTTATGTTCTAACAACACTGGATTACTTTTACCCCATTCAGATATGTCATTTCTTTATATATGCATCCTCCTCTACTTGTATATAACTTGCCTTTCACCAAAGTAATGAAAGACATACAGTGTTTGAAGAGGGGAAATGAAACATTTCTGTTTTCTCTCTTGAAAATTGAACTGACTTAAACATAGTTTATTTTCTTTTTTTTTTTTTAAAGGGATGTTACTGGCTGGTTTTATCATCAGGAATGTTCCATTCCTCAGTAAGCATGTCCGTATTAGTAACACGTGGTCTTCAACTTTAAGAAACATTGCCCTTACTGTTATACTAATACGAGCCGGACTTGGACTTGATACAGAGGTAGATTTCCAATTATACCTTGAGTAATGTTACTTTAAATATCAGAGGCTGGTAGAAAAGAAAAAGGTGAAGAATTTGTGTTATAGCTGTTTCAAATGGAGTCTTTAAGCAAAACTAAAATAATGAACAAAATTTTTGCAGAAATATTGTTGCCTTAGTTTCTCCTTCTTGTCATCATTATTACCGGTATAAAGAGAAATCACTGTGATCTCAAATCTCTGTTAGAGATAGCCTTTAATTATTTGCAGAGAGCTAAATGTCCCATATGCAGCATTTGTGTTTTTTGGGAGTTGTGGCTTATCTATGGAGAACTATTTACTTTTCAGTTAACAAAGGGTAAGGTCACCCCATAAAAGTTTTTTGCTTTTGTTCTGTTTTGTTATATTTTTTCAGAGAGATTAAGAATTTCAATAATATATATTTTTTATTTTTTATTAGTTTCAGGTGTACAAAGCAACATAATAGTTAGACATACACACCCCTCACAAAGTGATAACCCCCCCAATCTACTACTTCTATGGCATTGTATATAGCTATAACAATACCAGTGACTATATCCCCTATACTGTACTTTACGTCCCATGACTACATATATTATTTATTTATTTATTTATTTATTTTAATTATAGTTGACATTCAATACTATTTTTGTTTCATGAATTTTTTCCCACAGAAGTACTATGTTCCTGATTATCTTTGTATTGTAAAAGCTAATCTTTTATTTATAATATTTCCTAAAGTATTACTATCTAGAGATCACAATTCTATTTGGATTTTTAAAACATTCATGAGTATAACAGCTTCCCAAATAAATGTGGCAAATATAAGCCAAGTGGTAATAAAATATAAGCCTAGTGGTAATATCTCAAGAGGATAAATAATTATAGATGGTGATAATTTGTTATATTCCCTAGTAGAAAATTTGAACCAATGAGAAAATTTTAAAGTTCTCCCTTTTAGTTAATTGTGCAGTTTTTAAGTGGTTTTTCTCTTTTCTCGTGTTGATATTTTCTATTTATAATTATTAAGTTAATCAAACAGTTCATCTATAGACATTAAATTATGGAAATAAACCTATATTTTCATGATACAATTTACTAGGAAGATTAAGGAAGGTAGGATTTGTTATTTAATCACAGAGAAATGGATCTTTTTAATAAAATATAATGATGTTTTATAAAATATGAAATAGGTTATAATCCAATCTATGAAGACATATCAAATGAGCTGTATTAACATTTCAAACCTAGTAGAACAATCAGGGAGATTTAGTTTAGTAAAAGCTTATTACTCAAAGAAAAGGCTTTATATTTTAATATTTGCTTAAATCATTTTCTTTCTGATGATTATAAGTTTGTCTAAATATGACTGTGTTTATGTTTCAGGCTTTGAAGCATTTGAAGGGAGTTTGTTTAAGATTGTCTATGGGTCCGTGCCTCATGGAAGCGTGTTCGGCGGCTGTTATTTCCCACTTCCTTATGAATTTTCCCTGGCAATGGGCATTTCTATTAGGGTAACTTTTTTCATTTTTTCCTATGAAAATATCCAGTTAAGGATGCTTGGTTTAAAAATATTGATATGTTCAGAATATTGTATAGACAGGCTTCTCATTAGAATTCTTTTCACAGTGGTAAAAAACAAACAAACAAAAAAAAAAAACCTTAGAAATCAGTTGGTCAGAACTAGAGCCATGTTCTAAATCTACTATATCCTTGATAAACATGCATAGTCTCCAAATGTTTAATGCCCAAATAATTCACTTTATCAATTTATTACTTCCCTCCTGTATTGTAATCTATCTGTATTTTTTAACCTATATAATGGCCTTTTCCTTATACACTACATGTATGTATTATATATACATACAGTATATGAGAGAAATTTTGTATAGATATTATAACAACAAAAAAATAAAACAAACAAACAAATACTCTTCCCTATATCCAATGTCCTATCTATTATTTTCCACCACCCATGTCACTTTATGTCCAAATTCCTCAGTAAAACATTCTACAATCACTACTTCTGGATCCTGAACTTCTGTTCATTTTTCAGTTCATTTAACTTTTGCTTCCACTTATCTATTTCAATGAAATGTATAGGCAAGTTCACTAATTACATACTTACTGCTAAATTCAATGAATCTTTTAAATTAAATTTTATTGTAAGTACCCAAATGTATTTTACTTTTGAAAAATTAGAGCTTTACAAATAAAAGTCAAAGTCTTTTGACCATGCCTTCAAATCCTAATGCCTATACTCCAACCCAAAGTGACAACTTTTATGAATTTTATAGACCTTTAAAAATAACATCCTGGGGGCCGGCCGAGTGGCTCAGTTAGTTAAGAGCTCGCTCAAGAGTTTGAGCTCTGAGCAACAGCGGTTCGAGGCCCGGTGACTAAGCTGCCAATAGGTAGCAGGATGGCTCAGCTAAAATTAAATAAATAAAAAAGAAATAACATCCCAGGCTTCTAAATCTCCATAGAGAAAAGAGTATTATTTTGTATATTTTTATATAAATCATGTCTCCTATCTGTGATCAGCCTGTTCATATGCTTTGTCTACTTTTCTGTTGAGTTATTTTTCTTTCCTATTCATTATATCAATGCTTTGTCATAGGTATTATAATAAATATCTTATCCCAGTATTTAACTTTGCAGATGGTAACCTTTTCAGTCTAAAAAATGTATTTTATGATTTCTACCAGATAGAAGGGCCAATACATAAAAGCCTTTCACTTGACCTTGAAAATCAAAAAAAAAAAAAAAAGGCTGGGTGGGCATAGGGGTTGTATGCTTCTAACACACCAAAGGGCTTTTTAATATAATCAAATTTAACAATATTTCTCTTTATGTTTAATGCCTTTCTATGAGTCACTCAAAAGGTGCTTTATATATCATGGTCACAAATATATTCTTCTATAATTTATTCTTATTACTTTCAAGCTCAGTTTTTTTAAATTCTTTAAAATAGCTAGAATTTATTATGTGTGGGGATCTTGCAACATTCTTTTCCATGTGAATAGGTTGTTGTCTCAACAGCTACCATTTATGGACAATCCTTCCCTCCCTGCCCCCACTCTAAATGCAGATGTCAATTTTATCATGTAATTAATTCCATAGATTTGTTTCTACACTTTGTATTCTGTTTTCTTCCAGTCTACTTTCTCTATTTGTATGTCACTATTATACAGTTTTAGCTATTTTACCTTTATAAAAATAGTGTCTTTTTTACATTTACTTGATTTTTCATTCTGAGCTCTTATTCTCTCAAATGAATTTTAGAATCAGCTTGTCAAGCTCAGTGGAAAATCCTGAGAGATTTTTAATTGGCATAGCACTGAATTAATAAATTAATTTGAGGGAGAGATGACACATCTTTATAATATTGAGGATTTTTATCCACAAATGTGAAATGTCTCTCTAATTATTTGGGTGTTATCTGAAGTACAATATTTATGATTTTTATAAAGGTCTAGACCAACGGTTCTCAACTTTCACAGGGGTCGCCTAAGACCATCGGAAAACACATATTTTCGATGGTCTTAGGAACCGAGACACCACTCCTCTATCCATCTCCAGGCCCACATGCAGATATGCCTACATGTGAGTACCCGGTGACCCCTGTGAAAGCGTCGTTCGACGCCCAAAGGGGTCGTGACCCTCAGGTTGAGAACCGCTGGTCTAGACTATTTCGTAGTTTTGTTCTTAGGTATTCTGTGTTTTTTATTGATGTTGTTAATGAGATTTTTCATAACATTTTCTAATTAGTTTTTTAGGTGTATAAGAAAGCTACGAATTTTTTTTAAATCACTTTTCTTAAAATATAGTTTACATACAAAAATGAGCACCCATTTTGAATTAACATTTCAATCAGTTTTGACAATATTATATACCCATGTATCCACCTGCAAAACTGAGATGCAGTACATTTTCATTACTTCCCAAAATTCTCTTGTATCCCACCCCAATCAATTTCATACTGGCCCCAAGCAAACCATAATCTATTTTTGGTCACAATAGATCAGACTTTTTTAGAATTTTAAATAGATGGAATTATGTAGTATGCATTCTTTTGTTTCTGGCTTCTTTTGGTCGGCAAGTTGTTTTTGAGATGCATCCATATTATGACTAGTAGTTCATTCCATTTTATTGCAGAGTAGTATTTCATTGTGTGAATATACCGCCAGCTTCACCCACTTACTTGTTGGTGAATATTTGGATTGTTTCCAGTTTGGGACTATTTCAAACAAAGCTATGAACTTTTGCATTCAAGCCTTTGTATGGACATTAGTTTTCATTTATTAGGGAAATATCTAGGAATAGAATTGCTGGGACCTATGGTAAGATAATGTTTAATTTTACTAAAAAACTGCCATACAGTTTTCCAAAGTATTGTTGTATTTTATATTCCCACCAACAACGTATGAAATTCTAAGCCATCCATATCTTCTCCAATACTTGGTAGTGTCAATTTAATTTAAGCATTTTTTACTGGGCATATAGTGGTGTCAGATTGTGGTTTTATAGTTTTTCATCAAATTTGGAAATTTTTAAGCCATTATTTATTAAATATATTGTCCCCCTTCTCTTTCTTTCTTCTAGAACTACAATTAAACATGTTAACTGCTTGATATTAGTCTGTATAGGTCCCTGATACTCTATTAATTTTTTTCAGTTATGTTACTCTCTGTGCTTTATTTTGGATATATTCTATTCCTATGTCTTCAAACTAACTGATCTTTTCTTCTGTAGTGTTCAACTTTCTGTTAGTCTTATCCAGTGAAATTTTCAATTCAGATATTGTATTTTTTAATTATCATAAGCCATCATATATTTTTACATTTATCTTTCCAGCTTTATTGAGATATATTTGACATATAACATTGTGTAAGGTGTACAGTGTGTTGATTTGATACACTTATATATTGCAAAATGATTGCCGACGGTACATTAGTTAATGCCTCCATCTTGTAACATATTTTCCATTTCTTTTTTGTGGTGAGCACAGTTAAGATCTACTCTTTTAGCAACTTTCAAGTATGTATTTAATACAGTATTATTCACTATAATCACCATGCTGTACATTAAATTCCCCAAACCATAATCATCTTATAAGTAGGAGTTTATACTTTTTAGACCAATATCTTTTCATTTCCCCCACCCTCAGCCCCTACTAACCACATTGTACTCTTTGTTTCTATGAGTTCAGCTTTTTTAGATTCCATATATAAATGAGACCAGAAAGTGTTTGTCTTTCTCTGTCTGAGTTATTTCACTTAGTGTAATACTCTCAAGGTCTACCCATGTTGTCACAATGGCAGGATTTCCTTTTTCCTCATGGCTGAATACTATTGCATTGCATTCTTATATACCACATCTTCTTTATCCGTTCATCTGTCGACAGACATTTAGGTGGTTTCCATCAGCTATTGTGTCTTATTTCCAAAAGTTCCTTTTTGTTCTTTATTCTATCTTCCATTGTTTTTCCTCATGTTCACATTTTCCTTTAAATCCTTAACCATATGGAATATATTTATAACAACTGCTTTAACATACTAATCTGCCATTTCCAACATTGCTGTCATTTGTGGGTCTGTTTGTATTGACTGATTTCTGCCCCCCAACACCACCGCTGGTTATGGGTTACATTATCCCACCTCTTCATATGTCTAATGATCAGAAGCTAGACTAGATAGGTTTCACATTGTTGAATTCTGGATTTTGTTGGACTTTGTCCTAGATGGCAGTCATAAATTATTTGTGAATTAGTTGATCCTTTCAAGGCTTGTTTTTAAGATCTTTTAGGGGTTGTGTAAAGTAGCCTTACTGTAGAGCTAATTTAGTCCCTTTCAAAGGTGTGGCCCTTCTGTGTTTACTGAATGCCCTATGTGTTTGATAAGGTATCTCCACTCCAGCTAGTGGGAACTCAAAGGTTTCAACAGGCTTCTGTGAGCTCTGGAAATTACTCTTACTGCTCCTCAATAATCTTTCTTCAGGAGTTATGCTTGTCCAGCTTTGTGGGGTTTTTTACTCTATGCCTGCACTCCTTGGTATTCAACCAAAGATACAGGGAGCCCCTGACGCAAATTTCTGGAACTTTCTTTTTGTCATTCCCTCTTTCACTCTGTACTGAAAATTGTAGCTGCCTTGGCTTCCCCAAATTCCTCTCCTCAACTCAGCATGTTTGTTGTTCTTTGGTTGATTTCTCTCCACCACAGCCTTGAAATTGATCCCAAGCAAAACGCCTGGACAATGGTGATGTTTACTTCATTTGTTTCCCTTTTCTTATTTGTAACTGTCTGCTACCCAATGTCTGAGAATAGTTGTTACTTATATTTTTTCTGGTTTTCTAGGTGTGTTCACCAGAGCCTATATTCCTTCATGCCAGTAAGCAGATGTCCTGCTTTTGAGTTTTCAAAGTTGATCTTGTGTACAACTACCTTGCTAAATGTACATATTAGTGCTCTTATTAGTTCTTATATAAACATCCTGTCTTCGAATAAACTTATGT